AGGATTCTTAGGTGCAGCTCTCTGGGCTGTGGTCATGTTCGGCTCAGAATAAACCTCATCAAATTATTTTACAGCATTTGCGTTCTTTTCCATCGACAAAGTGTTTCACATACCTTGTAATACATCAACTATTTAATGATAATATAAAAGACTCTCTTATATGTTGAACAAATATAAAACTTCCCCTGCTGTTACTAGTTAAGCTTACAGAAAGTTCTCAATCAAATCAAGAGCCTGTTTAGGAAAAGAGATCTTAGAGAACTCACAGAGAGCTCTCAGTCCTTATTAGCTATTACAGATGTAGCAGGTGCTGCACAACGGGTAATGGTAGAGTCAGAAATTCAAGGTTCAAATCCTAGATACGTTGCCCTTTGACCAAACAATTCTACTCCTGAGTATATGGCCAATAAGGAGTGTTTATGGCCACCAAAAAAATGTGTCAATTAATTCATTATTCACCAAAGTCAAAAACTGAAAATTACCCTAATGTTCATCAACTATAGAAAGGATAAACAAATTATGGCAAATTGATGTAATGAAGTACTACACAGCAGTGAGAAAGTGTAAGCTACTGGTATATAGAGCACAGACAAAGCTCACAGACACAATTTTGAGCCAGCACTAGCACATGAACAATATGATTCAATTTACATGAAGTTCAAGTACAGGAAAAAGTGATAGATGGCAAATGAGGTTTGAATAGCAGTTACCTTTTTAAAATTTCTTAATTGAAATTGTATATATTTAAGCTGTACAACTTGATGCTTTAAAATACATATACATAGTGAATTGATTACTATATTCAAGTTAAATGTCACCTCGTTACCTTTTTGTGTGTGGTGGGAACACTTAAAAGCTACTCTTAGCAAATTTCAAGTACACAACATAGCATAATTAACTATAGTCAGCATGCTGTACGTTAGATCTCTAGAACTTATTCATCCTACATAAGTGAAACTTTGTACCCTCTGATCAACATCTCCCAATTTCCCCTAACCCCCACCCTGGTAACCACCATTCTACTCTCTGTTTCTGTGAATTTGAAATTTTTAGGTTGCACATATAAGTGAGATCAGGCAGTATTTTTATGTGTCCGGCTTATTTCACTTTGCATAATGTCTTCCCATTTCATCCATGTTGCCACAACTGGTTAAGATTTCCTTCATTTTTAAGGCTAACTAATATTCCGTTATATATATAAATATATATGCCATAATTTCTTTATCCATTCATCCGTCAACCGACACTTAGGTTGATTCCATACCTTGGCTATTATGAATAATGCTGCAATCAACATGGGTGTGCCGATATCTCTTTAAGATGCTGATTTCATTTCCTTTGGATTTATACCCAGAAGTGAGGTTGCTGGATCATATGATAATTTTATTTTTAAATTTTTGAGGAACCTCCATACTATTTTCCATAATGACTAGACCAATTTATATTCTGAATAACAGCTACTTTTGCAAGAGGTATTTTCTGAGAAGGTACATGGGGGCAAGGAGAAAGAAACAGGTGGAATTAATTGCGGTGATGTGTTTTGTTTGGCCCAAATATTCAGGATACTATCACTTTAATTGCAATTTTATGAATCAATAAAAAAAGGGGGGGGCAGCCTTTTAGGAAGCTGGAAATGTCTTAAACCTTGATCTGGATGGTAGTGACATGAGTGGATACATACAAAATTTCATCTGGCCGTAAACCTAAAATTCATGTACTTTAACGTTATAACCATACTTTTTAAAATTCTAAATTCATTCACTGTGTGACCTACGACAAATGACCCTCTCTAAAAAATCTCCTTCTCCTCATCTATAAAATAGGGATAATAATATAACTACCTCTTAGGATGGTTATGAGGTGTGAATACAAAAATTCATGTAAAGCATTTAGCATAGAACCTTGCATATAGGGAATGTTTGGTAAATATCGCCTATTATTATTATTACTATCACTGAAAATGCTGTCATAGACAAGATTCGGGAATAATAATTAAGGTAAACCTTACATATAAACCTGGCTTTAAGAAAAGCAAATGTATCTAATTCTATGTTTATAAATTTGAGAGAAAGCTTTAGATTCTTGGCTTCTAAAAAATATTTCCCACCGAATTCATTTACATAATAAATTACTCTAATAAATTTCAAATAGTATTAGATGTAACCCAAAAGGTAAGTGTCCATTTCACTTTTAAGATATATCTTAGGTAAAGCAAGATACATTCACGTGTGCTGCGGTCTCTCTGGGGCCTAGACCACCTGATCTTGAAAGCTGAAACTTGCGATGACACACTGACTTTCTGAAGATACCATAGAACCCAGAAACCAATTTCTGCAGCAGTAATTTTCTATGGGAGGCCACTCTCCAGAGGAGTTAGGATTACTTACTAGCTTCTTGTCTGAGCGTGGCTAAAGGAATAAATTACTGGTTTTGACAACTGCTAAATTATTTTTCGGAAGAGTTTAGGAGTAAGAGTATGTAGGTTTTATCATGACTATCTCTACAAAATCTCTAAAGCTGTAGAACCGAACGTGAGGATTATAAATTGAAGGTGCTAAGTAGCATAGCAGAGGAGCCTTTAGAAATTCTCCAGCCCACAGAAAACTTTACACTATTGGAAATTCTTGTCTTTAGAAATTTTTCAAAGATTTTATAATAAATAATATAATGCGTTCAATCCATTTTGAAATACATGAACCAATAAAAGTCTAACTCATGAACCAGGGAAGTGTAGAAAACAGACAAGAACACACAGTCCCCAGGTATGTGTCCAGGATGGTGGGCCACTGGCTACCCTCAACCCCTCAGCCCATGAAGGTGGTCCTCAGGTCTGTCCTTTCTTCTCACATCAGTGCTGTCCAATAGAACTTCCTGTGATGCTGGAAATGTCTTATAGCTGCTCTGTTCAATTCTGGAGCCACTAGGCATGCATGGCTATTGAGCAATCAAAATGTGGCTACTGTGACCAAGGAACTGAAGTCTTCATTGTATTGAATTGTAATTCATCTGAACTTAAACAGCCACATGTGGCTAGTGGTTATTGTACTGGACAGCACAGTTCTTGCCTATCAGATCTGAACCCAGGCTCTTCCAGCTGGAGACACTCATGTCCTGAACTTGCAGACTCAATTCTTCCCACAGTCTGAGCCAATCTTGCAGAAAACAAGACACAATCAGATGCTTCCATCTCATCACCCAGCCTTGCTGCCTCTGGATCTGTTAGACCCACATGAGGCTCAGCTGCTCACTTAGCCTACAAGTCACTGCAATTTGGGCCCAATACCTCCTTTTGCCCCTGCTCTTTTGCTTCTGTTTCCTCCTAGCCTCCTGTTCCCAACTAGGAGAGGAGTCCTGCTAGGAACTCTAATCCAGACTGCTGAGGCTATAAGACCCTCTCTCCAGCTCTTGCCACCCCTCTCCCTGCAGCCCCAGCCTCTGATTGAGCTGCTGCTGTGAATGGGCTAAGAGCCCAGAAATGCAACATCACTCGCCACCGCATTTGATTTTCATTCATTGCAAAAATCTGCCAGTTATACCCACTAAACACTCGGCAACCCTCTCAGACGCCAGGCTAGAGAGGTGATTTGGGTACCCCCGACCCCAAAGCTGCCTGCGACAACATCCTCTTCCTCCCCACCAGGCCTCACGATTAAGGTTGCGATGCAGATTCCTAATCCAGCCTAAAGTTATTCTGAAGTTGAATTACATTCCCAGTAGAGTTATATACACATTCAAATGGAGATAAACTGCTGGATTGAATATTTGATTTATATTTATAAATGATACTAGAATATAAAACATATGTTCATTTATTATATTCATGGCAGTAAAGACCACTTTTAAGATTCTCTAGGAAAATATCTTGGATTATGCAAAATCAACATGTGTTTTGTCATTGACTGTTGACCTAATTTAAGTCAATGTATATCAAAACTAGGAGGCTCGTGCACGTAACTTGGCTTGAAAACACTTGATAGAAACGTAAATGCGTGTGTGTATTCCCAAAACATAACTGTCTATGTGACTGCAACATTACAAAACAAAGTGGCTATTTCTGAAGCATGGGAAGGTGATCCATCCACTGAAGGATGATTGAATTCATCATTCTGTCCGAGAAGGGGGGAGGTGGCATTGCTGGCCTGCAGTTCCGAACTCTGTCACATACGCTTGGCAGCCCTTCTCTTTGGGAGGCACAGACTTGAAAATGACATCATTTGAATTCTGAGTGTTCTGGCTGGAAATTTGTATTTCTCAGCTGGAGACCATGAGAGTAAAGGGTACTTGAAGAAAGTTCAATCCTGCAGCTATTTTCACGATGTGATGAAGGATTCTTGCTGGTTTGAGACTCCTGGCTGAATTTTTCAGGATCTTTCAATGTTTTTTCCGACTGAATAATCTGAAACAGCTTGGAAATAAAACAGAATAGTTACAGATTCAAAAGAAAAGAAAAATCACAATTGTATGTAGCAATGTACTCAAAAATGCAAACAATAATCAGTTGTTCAGGGACTAGTTTTTTAGCTGTTTGCTTCTTTTTTCTTCCTCTGGATTTTCTGCCAATGACTTGCACCTCCACCTGCTGGCGCACGAAGGAAATGAAGTGGAAATAAAATTCAAGCAAGTCAACCAGATTATTTGCTGGAATCTTTGATACAGTTTGGTTGGAGGAATGGGTGAAGTTACACTCTAAAATGAAGTTTCTGAAGATTAGCAGTATATTTATCAATCCATTCAGTCTCTGCATTAGCTATTAAGAGTGAGATGGAAAAATAATTTTAAAAAATGCCTTTATTAAACTTATCTCCTAGCTATCAGCACCTCATTCAATTCTCTTGCCATCACCCATGTGTCATCCTTTCAATAATCCCACTAAAAGTTTTACAACAAAATGCAGCATTATACAAGGTATACATGTAACAAAAACATTTGTACCCCCTTAATATTTTGAAATTAAAAAAAGAAAAGAAAATGCAGGAGAGAGTTGGAGTATAAACCAAAACTTAAATCAGAACATCTCCTTCAAACTCAAAGGTAGACACAGCTTCAGGAATGTAAATCAGTCCTAAATCTTTAAAAGACCAATAAAATAAGTGTTTAAACACCTGAAACTATGCTATAGCAGAACACTAAAAGCATGGACTCTGGAACCAGACTTCCCAGGTTGGAGACCAAACTCTGCCCCTCATAGCTCTGTGACCTTGACCAAATTACTCCAACATCTCTGTGCCTCAGTTTCCCCATGTGTGAAATGGGGTTAAATGATAGTACCTACCTAATAGCATTATTGTATTAAGTCAGTTAATATTTACAGAGAACCTAGAAAAGTTCCTGGCACATAGAAAGTGCTGTGTAAATGTTTATTAAATAAATAAAAGGTAACTGTTGAGTATGGGTAAGAAGAAATGCTGTAGCTGTTATTACCAAGAAACTGTAGCTTCTCAGATTGAATGCACGGCCTTGATCACATTACTGTTCACCACAGCAGCACCTTGAGCTATCATGAATTCAGAAGGCCTATTATTAGGAACAGGAAACTGAGTTAAGACAAGAATAAACTGGTAATTTCCTAAACAGAGAATAAACAGCACAAGTTAGTTCCAGCAATTTGATTTTTTTTTTGAAAAGGCTAATTTAACACTAAATGATCTGGAAACACAAATTTGCTATAAAATCTTCAAGTTTTAAGATGATACTAAAATTTTCCAGAAAGTAAAGGAGTACAATGGAAACTCTAAAAAACAATAACACAATTTTACCCTAATCTAAAATGTGATATAATTATAAGAAATCGTCATACAAGTTGCAATGTATGTGCTGGTTAGACCATACCTTTCCTTCATTCATTCAGTGAATTTGCTGGTTTTGTTTTTTTGTTGTTGTTGTTGTTTTAGTATATATTTGATGCTGGCATTTCAATATGCAACAGGGAACAAGTCATAAACAAATGAATATATAAAATAATGCCAGGGAGTGGTAAATACTAGGAAGGAAAATGAAGCAAAGTAAAGAGGATGGAGAGTGACAAGGAGGAGAGGCAATATGAGGAAGACTTTTTGGAGCAGACGGACATTTGAGCAAAGGCCTAAAGAAGGCAGGAGGCAAACCATGTAGGTATCGACAGAAAATGCTTACCAGGCAAGGGAACAGTAAGATCTTGAGATCTGAGCTAGAAATATGCTTGGTGTATTCAAAAAACAACAAGAAGGCCAAAAAGATGATCCAAATTATTAAGCAGAGAAAAAGGTAAGAAATTAGGGGGGAAAAGGAGCCAGGGACCAGGTAGCGCAGGACTTCAGGGGTTACATACCTGGCCCCTAAAATTCTTTGAAAATTTTAGATGCAGGCTCTTTGTCCCCTCCCTGTGAATTGGGTGGGCTTAAGACTACTCAGACAAGTAGAATATGAAGGAAATGACTGTCATTTCAGAAGCCAGGTCATAAAAGAGGATGTGACTTCTGTCTTGCCGCATGGATCATTCATGTTTGCAGCCTGAGCTGCCACTTGACTTTCCTGAGACTGTCGTGCTGTGAGAAAGTCAAGCTACATGTGAAGGGAACGTGTAGTCTCCCTTCCTCTCACTGCCCCAAGTCAGCTATCCTAGACTTTGAGCCATCCAGCCCACATGCCAGACATGTACCTAAATAAGCCTTCAGATGATTCCAGCTCCCAGCCACCAAATCGTCCCAACTAAGGGACACAGCCCCAGACACTTTGGAGCAGAAACAAGCCACGCACACTGTACCTTGTCCAAATAGACCCACACAATCCATGAGCATAATAAAATGGTTCTTTTAAGCCACTACATTTTGGTCTGGTTTGTTACATAGCAGTAGTAACTGAGACACCATAAAGATTTGGCATTTCATTTAAGTGAAAGTATTTAGAGAGCTGAGTAATGTGACCCGATTTATGAAGTAAGAGGATCAGTCCAGTAGAGGAGTTGTCCAGCCCCGGCATCGTGGTACCTGGGGTAGAGGAGAAGCAACAAAGGTGGTGAGAATTGATGGAGAAAATATTTTGAAAGCAAATCGGACAGTATTTGCTGATGGATTGGAAGTTGCATGTAGAAAGAAACAAATCAAGAATGACACCAAGGATTTTAGCCGCGGCAATTGTGCAACTAAGTGCATAGAGCTGTCATTTTGACTGAGATACAAACATTGGAGGAAGAACAGTTCTGGAGAATAGAAATCAAGAGTTCACTTTTGAACATACAGCATGTCCAATAGACACCCAAATGGAGACGTTGAGTAAGCAACTGGATATACGAGCTTGGAGCTCAGGAGCTCAGGAGCAAGGCTGGTACTATATTACAGCGTTCAACTCCGTGTTCCTCATTTTAGGAAAGACGTTGACCACTACAGAATATTCTTCTGAATACAAGAAGCTCACCAAGATGCAAATGCTTCTGGAAGCCTCTCATTAAAGAAAAAAAAAATGAAGGCACTAAATATAGATTGAGCAAAAATACCCATTATGGTGAAGAAGCACTTGAGTGAGTACGACTTACCATTAGGATTCATCTTTGATTATGTTATCTTTTTGAGGGACTAAAGATCTAGTTCCTGCTTTCACGGAGACTAACACAGAACACCTCATCCAGGGGTGGGGAACCTGTGGCCTTTTGATTTCAAGGTTGCTCTTTTTTAATCACCACAGGAGACAAAAAAGCTTCATCTTTCTCTACTGTACCTGTTTTAATAGAAGGATTTGTTCTGTAAAATTTGGGTTCAGTCAAAAGGCTGCACTCAAGGATCCAGAAGGCCACATGTGGCCCCAAGGCTGCAGGTTCCCCAATATTCCTTTCCCCACAGGAGCTACCACTCCAGAACCAGACACCATTACAGAGAATTTGGCCTAAAACAAAGCCCGCAAATGACACAGCAGATGGATTGGATAGCATGAAGTTGTGTTGGTGCAGCTTTCTCTAAACAAAGCAAAGCCAAACAAAACCACATACTCACATGTTCCAAGCAAATGGAATGCTGGCCTATCTAAAATTCACTACCTATTATGAGAAATAAATGTCCCTTGTTTAAGCCACCAAGTCTATGGTATCTTGTTATAGCAGCCTGAAATGACTGAGACACTCCCCTCTATGAACGTGTATGTAGTTGAGGTTTCGTTTTTTTTTACTAAGTCGCACCTATGAGGATTATGATGACCTTGAGAGGAAGAGCTTCGAAGTCACAGGCTTGAACTTACCCCCTTGCTTTGCGATCATGTGAAACGATGCTTTCTTGAAGCCCTCTGCACTGATGTGCCAACCGCTGTCATTCGATTCACACTGTCTCTTTTTCCACTGTCCTTCACACTCAGTTCATTTGGATTTGAATGTGTACTGGAAGTGAAAAAGAAAACAATTACTTTGGTATCCATAAAAATGTATAAAATGTCAAACGCATTGCTTAGAGATAACGATAAATATTCTGAAATTACCTTAAACTTGCAGTAGATTTATTCTCTCCACAATGGGACAAGGAATGAAAAGGAACTGAGATTGAACCCTATTTTTAAAAAGGGGTGAGAGCAGCAGTTAATAATAAATAATATTTCACCCTTAGATATCAAACCTGACAGAGCAGGTACCACATCCCTCATGTGGAGCGCTTCAGGAAGGCAGCACTGACTCTGAGGGACGACGGTATCCAAACTGGACCCAGAGGAAGTCACCGTGGGCAAAAGCAGAGCAGAAACAGGCATGGGCCTACGTGAACCAACCCTCAGCTGTGGAGACCTTTCCCTTTCAAATAAAAGGCAAACAAGCCCCCTAAAATCAGCCATTTAAAGCCCCAAACGTAATCAGGTACTGAATTTTCATAATGCTCCCGCGTGAAAATCTATTAAACGTGAACGAGGACACTAAGGAAGCCAGGAGTGCTCTACCCGGGCCCATAGGATCCCGCTCCTCTCCCGACGAGAGCAGCACAAAGACACTCCACTGTCCCTGGACTGCGAATTCTCCACGGACTCGCCCTCCTGGACTTCTGCGGAAATGGAAAGCAGCCGTGTCTCCACGAGGAACCTGGAGTGGCAGCCCCAGAGTCAGCCCCTAACGCTGTGCGAGTTGGCCCAGCTTGGTCTCTCCGAGCCTGAAATCTGCCTGGGCACTGCTCACAAAGCTTCCTCCTCCACGTCCTAACCCTGCCTTGGCAGGAACAAGTCACAGCGACGATGGCCACTAGCAGAAGAACGCAGCTGCTGGCCAAAACACCGACCCAGACGACTGAGGGTTCAGGCTGCAGCCCTGATCCCCTCGCTGATCGCCACACCGCGGGTCCCTCTCCCTGCTCCGGCGGCGGCCGCGGCGGCGGCGGCGGCACTAGCACCACTTCTCCGCCAGAGGGCGCCGGGTCCGCGGGCTCTAGAAGCAATGTGGCAGTGCACGACAGGGTGGGCCGGCCTCCGTCCCGTACCGCGATGACCGCTGTCAGCTGGCCGGTGGGCTGCGGGGTCAGGCGGCGCTGCAGAGACAGCTCACCCGAAGCCGGATGCAGCGCTAGCGCCCCGGGGCCGCCGTCGTCGCGGAGGAGGATGTAAGTCAGGTCGGCGTTGGAGCCTTCGTCCCCGTCTTTTGCCTGCAGTTGGGTCACCAGGTAGCCCAACGGTGCATCCCAGGGCAGAGGCAGCTGGGCTGAGCCATTGAATAATAGTGGGGCCACCAGACGGGGCGAGTGGTCTTTCTGATCCTCCACCTGCAGCCGCACTACAGCCAGGCCCCAGAGCGGCGAGAACCCCGTCGAGAGCCTCCACTTCCAGCTGCATCTCCGCCCGTTCCTCGCGGTCAAAGCACCGTCGAGCACGCAGCTCCCCAGTGGCTGGGTCCATCGAGAGGTAGGTGGACACAGAGTGCCCGGAGCGGCCCACCTCGGCCTCCAGCAGCCGGTAGGTGACCTGGCCGTTGCGGCCCAGGTCCGGGTCCCGGGCAGCCACCGTGGCCAGGTAGGCGCCGGGCGGGTTGTTCTCACGCACCGACACCTCATAGACTGGCTTCGTGAAGAGCGGCGCGTTGTCGTTCTCGTCGCCCACGCGCACCGTGTAGGGCTTCACCGTGCGCAGTGGGGGCGCGCCGCGGTCCTCGGGTCAGGTTGTACTCAGCAATGCGCTCGCGGTCCAGCGACGCTGCGGTCACCACCAGGTAGCTGCCAGCGTAGGCCGGCTGCAGCCGGAAGTGCTCGTGCCCATAGAGGGCGCAACGCACCTGCCCGTTGGCGCCCGAGTCCCTGTCCGAGGTGCTGACCAGAGCCACCAGGCTCTCGCGCGCCGCCCCCTCAGGCACCAGAGAGGTGGCATCAGCCTCTGGCGTCGCGGGTCCCGCCGAAGAAGTCGCGTCCGCTCCCCCGAGCGCAGCAGCAGCGGCGGCAGCGGCGAAGGGCGAGGCGGCTGCCACACCCGGGGCGGCCAGCGGGGTGATGGCGATGTCGGGCGCGTTGTCATTAACGTCGCGGATGCGCACGATGACCTTGCAGGTGG